ATATATATATATATATATATTTTCATATGAAATAATTCATACCTAGCTACACAATAAAACCCTAAACGATTCATTTTCGTGTCTAAATTTTTTAGACTATTTTATCCTTATAAGTTATATTGACTTCCAAGTTCTAACTCATTCAAATACATTTCCTTCTTCAAATCTCTCACACTTCTAAAATATAATACCTATTTCATTATTTTTAAAATACAAAGAGACACAAAATACTTCTCTTACACTAATTAAAATATTTTTTAAAACAAAGCTTTAAATGTAAATTAAATTCAAAATAATCTTAAAAAGAAATTAACTTTTTAAAATACCACAAAAACATGGTACAAAATATAAGCAAAAAGCAATTCATTACCCTGAGATTCATGTGTTACTCAAAGGTTACTCACCTCAATTGACAATTATAAGAGTTTACAAGGTTAAAAAACATTATATGAAAGATTTACGCATGTTACAAAATCTAAGTAAAAAGTAATTCGTCACACTGAGATTCATGTGTTACTCAAATATTACTCACCTCAATTGACCATTATAAAAGAGTTTACAAGGTTAAAAAACATTAGATGAAAGATTTAATATATCAATACCCATTTTCGAGCAACTCACGCTAAAGCCATCATGAATAATGAAGATAAGATAAAACTATCCAATAAAGAAACTTGGGACCATTCAGAGTTTAATAATAAACGGAAAAAGACAAATCACATAAAATCAAATTCTAAATTAAAAGTGAGATTATCAAGACACTAAATAATCAAATTTAAAGCTATATATGAGAAAGAGACAACATCATTTACAAAAAAGTAGAAGTCGGTCAAGACATATTACCTTACATGATTTTTATGCACGATATGGTATTTTTATTACGTAATTTAATTTAATTTCATATGTATCTTTTTTGTACCATAGGAGTAAAGATGACGAAATGAATCGAGCTAGTTCGAACTTTGCTAAAATTTAAGGTTCGGGATCAACATTGTGAGCCTAAATTAAATGTGAGTGTTATTAATTTGGTTTGATAGAGTCCTCATTAAAATTGAGCTTGGGTTGAACTACTTGCTTATTTTAAATTTTGGGGAGAAAAATGAGATTAACCAATTCGTCAAACTTTTATTTAGTTAACATAGACTTTATTTGATTTTGACAAGGATTATTTATAAAGTTATAGTACATGATTTCACATTAAGGGAATTAAAAATTAAAATTTTAAACTGAGACTAAAATAAAACTTTAAATTTTTTTCTAGGAACAAAAAAAATTACGTACTGTTCATATGACAACCATGTGGATCTATGTCATGTAAAATGTTCACGTGCATAATATTGACATATAGCTTTGATAGCTAAGACAACACTAAATTAACATATATAGACACCTAGATCAAGAACAACATATTTTGCATTTTGCATCTTGAGAGACCAAAACAGGCTTGGAAAAAAATTTGAGGACTAAAAATAAATTTGGAAAATTTTAGAGACAAAAAAAATATATTTTACTTTATATTTAATTATGTTGTATTGTAAATTGTAATTGTGTATATCTATTATTAATAATTTTGTACATTGAGTATTGTACAAACCATTAAAATTGACTTAGTAGTAAAGTTGGGATAATATATACAAAATTATAAGTTCAAACTTTGTTGTCACTATTTAATTCTTTCTGAATAAAAAATGTAGAAGAAGAAAATGAGTGATGAAATAAATAAGTTTTACATTGTCATATTCAATCACAAATCACCATTTAAGATAAATTGTTAATTTTGTTCTCATCATTTAATTTTTTTCTTAAAAAAATGTTAAGTGTAATTTAAGAATATGATCTATAAATAGATTGTTTGAAAATAAGGAAAGGAGAGAAATTGTAATAATTTTTCATTAACGATACCTTTTAATCGTATTAATTGCTGATCTAAATATACGAGGAAGGATAGTATTAACAACTTATTTTAATTGAAATAATTACTCATTAATGATACTTGTACGTACTTACTATTTCAATTTTACTAATTACTCATCTTAGTATAAGGAAAATACTACTACAGTACTAATTATTGTTCTAATTACATTAATTATTCTTTTTTAATTGTATTAATTGTTCATTTAAATACAAAAGCAGAAATAGTACTAAATGCTTATTTTAATTATATTAATTACTCATTTAAATACAGGAGCATGAATTGGTACTAGTTATTCGTTTTAATTGAATTAATTAGTGTAATAATCCGTAAAAACTTGAATGTGTAACGCCCGATTTATATAATAATAATTATATATTTTCTTATATGATATTTTCGCAATTATATCATTAATAATATTTTTTTTTAATAAAAATAAAGGTAAAGAAAATAATATTTTGTGAATTTAATACATGACATATCGTTCTAAAATATTTACAATAATGTATTATTTTACACAATATTTCTTTCTTTCACTTCTATTATAATATTTACATTGACAGTGGGAATAAATTTACAATAACAAATAAAATTATAATAGATTCATCAAATAGCCTCCACATTTCAATTTCTTCCAAAGAAGACAACAGCTATAACAACTGTAAAATGATCTGAAATCCCAAGTAGATCCATCTATTTTATAATATATTTAATTTTAAAAACAAAGAAAAGAGAGGAGTAAGAACAATATCCAATAAATACAATAATTCAAAAGAATATACAAAATTATTTATAATCAATATTAAACATATATATATATATATAAATATATATACAGATCATATATTAGATTTTCATGATACAATAAAATTTGAATTATACTTGTAGTGACTAGTCAGGATAAATGAGCATCATCATAATATCAACCAATAAAAGGATATTTCACCTTAACCAACAATAGGATATTTCACCTTCATTTCTTACTCATTTAAATCCCCAAGGTCAAACCTCCAGCTACAAATAATTCAAACTTTATCTTCTATGGCCATAGAACAATATTTATCTTCATAAATACGTGAAGAAATAACAAGACGAGTCCAAGATATCACAACTATATCACAGTTGATTATAAATATATTTACAATAAATATATTTACGTAAAAAGAATATATTAAGAGTACCAATGATATAAATAAAAATGACAATCATTATAGAATAATTAAACAATATAAAATATAAACACCTTAATAATTAATATGGATAAAAATAATCATAAGTTAAGCAAATAAATGAGGTTAGGGACACCCCACTGAATAAATACACATAGAAAATAACATAAATAAATAAACATAATAATATATAAAACTTTAAAGAGATAAGGTTCTCCTCCCCCTTACCTGGATAAGTAGGAGCTAAAACTTGGGCAGGACCTCCCCCTCTAGATTCCCTTTTTCTTTCTCTCTCTTTCTCTTTTTCTCTCTCTTTCTCTCTCTTTCTCTCTCTCTAAGATTTTCACCTTCTCACTAAGTTATAAATTTTTCACAGCCCAAGCCTCCTATTTATAGGCATTCAGGCGTACCCGGAACGGCCCGTACTGAATTCGGAACGGCCCGTTCCGGAGCCTTCAAATATACGCAAAATGTTCAACTGGAACTGCCCGTTCTAAAATCAGAACGGCCCGTTTCCAAAAAGCAGAACGGCCCGTTCTAAAATTAGAACGACCTATTCTGGAGTTCACTTTTACACAGGTTGACCATAAGGAGAACTGACCGTTTTCAACTTGGATTTTAGGCCATTTTGTTTATCTGGAACGGCCCGTTCCACTTTTTGGAACGCTCGTTCCGCTTTTAGGAACATGCCGTTCCGCTTTTTGGAACGGCTCGTTTTAGGCCTGAAAAACAGAATTTCATTTTAAAAAAATAAAATTCTTTTAATTAATTAATAACTATAAGAAAATAATTTTTATAAATATAAAATAATAATTAACTATTGTATAAAATTTGGGATGTTACAGAATGAGTGAAATTTATAACGTTTTTTTATATCATTATGTTTTTAATACATTTTTTAAAATTTTATATCAATACATATTAGTATATATGTGTGTATATATATATATATATATATACATAAATATATATTTTTTAAAATATATTAAAATTATTATAAAAGTTGTAGTCTATGATGGTTTTACTAATCCGTCAGTATATAATTAGCACTAAATGTAAATTTTGTATTGTAAGCTAGTTGTTGAAACTTGAAAATAATGAGCAACAAAGATAAAGAAACAAGAATAATACACAAATTTTGAGTGAGAAACCCTTGACGGGAAAAAAACTACGAGGAAAAAAAAATCCACTATAATCAAAATTGGTACAGAAAGACATTAAGTCCAACAAATAGTTCAATCCCCATTGTAGAAATTGGCCCCTTCATATATGCTTCTTCTGGGTGAATAAACATGTTCAGCATTTTTTATTTTTCTGTCAATCGGGGTTCTACTTTGGCATATTTAATCTATTATTCATTGGAGGATTGACAATCTGCAATGTGTCTGAATGGGAGGAAGAGCCTTGTTCTTGACATAGTGACAGACAACACATAAGATATTGAATATGATTGGTAAGAAACAAGTAGAAAGGAATACAAGTATAGAACAAACATCATGTAACAACTATAAAATATAGGAAATAATTAACTAATTAAGTATATCCTCAAGTAGCCATTTGTTTTTCTGCCGGCTTCTTACGCATTTGACCACGCATGTCGACAAAATGGTCATGATCTCTAATGTCATATTTCTTTGGAAGCTTGCTAAATAATTCATTCATAGTTTCATACCCTTTAGCAATGATACAATTCATATGAATCAAGTTCAAGCCAAGAGAGATCTATTTTATCACTTTGATTTTGGATATCCTTCTTTTGTCCTTCCATTTTTCTCTTTGTAACATACTAGTGTTACTGAGAATTCTCTTCATGGGAAGTCTTTTTCTCATCCACAAAATTATGATTCATCTTTGGTTTGTTGCTTGGATGTGCTTAGGTGCATGCTCTGCTCAATTTCCCTACGACCCTACTAATTGTACTTCAAATGAAGCTGTGATAGAGACAAGGTACAGTTGCAACTCAACGCATGATTCATGCAAAACATTCTTGCTGTATAGAGCCAATGAACATTTCAACACCATTTCAAAAGTCTCAAAGCTCTTCAACAAGAACTCTGATGAGGTGCTTCAAATAAACAACCTCACATCTTCTTTTCACTCTCAGGTACTCAAACAAGGTAAAGAGGTTCTTATTCCTGTTGATTGCACCTGCTCTGGCAAGTATTATCAAACCAGTTTAACCTATAAAGTCCATGAAAACACCACATATTCAGATATTGCTTGTGGAGTTTTTGAAGGGCTTTTGAAACCACTCACACTTGCTGAGGAAAACCTTTCACAAGGTAACAAGGCAGAAGCTGGTTCTGAGCTTCATGTGCCTGTTACATGTGCTTGTCCTGACAGTGACAATTTCACCAGAAGCAAGAAGGTGAAGTACCTTGTCACATACCCTATAATACTGGGAGATGATCCAGAAAAATTCATCGGAAAATTTAGCATCTCACTTGAAGATTTCGCAGCAGTTAATAGCCTGAAGTTGAATCCCTTGTCAACTATATATCCAGATACAGTTGTTTTCATTCCATTAAGGGATGGTCCAATCAGAATACTTGATATTCCTGATTCTCCTTCTCCACCTCCTGGTTTTCTCCTTACAAATCCAGTGGTTATAGATCAGGAATCCACACAATCATCAAATTTGTATATTGCAGCAGGATCTGTTGTGGGGTTTTTGTTGTTCATAACATTGCTTGCAAGCGGAATGTACATGAAGAGATTGAGGAAAAGTGATGTTGTCCATTCCTTTAGTTCAACAAACTTCCCCACTTTGTGGACACCAACTAAAACCTCTACAACTTGGTGCCTATCCCCTGATCTTCTTGTTGGGATAAAGTACTATTTACTCAATTACAGCATAGAAGAGCTCCAAAAGGCCACAAAAAAATTCAGTGAAGAAAACAAGATTGGTGACTTTGTCTACAAGGGCTCAGTCAATGATCTTGAGGTGATGATAAAAAGGATGAGGTTGGAGGACACACGCCAGGTGATTGATTTACATTCTAAGATCAACCACATTAATATTGTGAACTTGCTTGGTGTTTGCTATGGTGAGAGTAATGATTCATGGTGTTATTTAGTCTTTGAGTTGCCTAAGAATGGATGCTTGAGGGACTGCTTATCTGAACCATGCAATCCTCTGAATTGGTACAAAAGGACACAAATAGCCTTTGATATTGCAACATGTATTTACTATTTGCATTGCTGTTCTTTCCCTTCTTATGCTCACATGAATGTGAGTAGTAGAAACATATTCATAACAGCATATTGGAGGGGGAAACTGGCTGATGTTGGAAGGGCATTGGCAACTAGTGCCACACTCAGCAAAAGAAATGACAGTGTAGAAATTCCCAAAGGATTGGTGGCACCAGAGTACCTCTTGCATGGATCAGTTTCTGAAAAAGTGGACATTTTTGCATTTGGGGTTGTGTTGCTAGAGTTGATCTCAGGAAGGGACAATTTTGATGGAAAAACAATGAAAGATTCCCTCGGATTTCTGTTGGGAGAAGCCAGTGAAGGGTCCTGTTTTGAAGGGTTAAGGAGTTTCATGGATCCTAATCTGAAGGATTATCCTCTTTCTGAGGCTTTATGTTTGTCTTTTTTAGCAAAAGATTGTGTGGCAGATGATCCCCTTATTAGGCCAACTATGGATGATATCATGAAAGTCCTTGCAAAAATGGTTTAGCCAAGAGCAGGACATGAAAATCTGTAACCAAATTGGCTAAAGTTATGTTTGTAATTATGAAATGTAAAAAATTGTGTTCCATCACAAGTTCTGCTGCTCTTTCTTGTTACTCGTTATCAAATATTAACATTGATATTTTTATAGTACAAATATCTATTAATTTTGTTAATAATTAGTTTTTATAAAAAAAAATTATAATTAATTGTCTTTAATGAAATCGCTCATTTGTCAATTACATTATTTTTGTCTACAAAATTAGAAACACATACCTTAGGAACTTAGATCAATAATTTATTACTATTTTGATAGTTTGATAGATCTATATATGTTAAGAACCGCTTGGTCATTACAGAAATGAATCATCACCTGAACACTTAGTCATTGGAGGATATAAGAGAAGCATATTCCATTTTGTACTTATAGTAACCGTCAAAGGATTGCTATATCCTCCGAAAAAGAATCTGAAACAGTTTTCGAAACTTTAAAATATTCAACTTATTAAATAAATTTATTATAAAATAATTATTTTATGTAATTTTTTATGATTTGAAACAATAATTCAACTTTCGAAATGTGATTTCGGAGATCTAGGATTTTTCCAACCGTCATGAATTAGGAAGGTTTCTACTCCATCATAGCAATATTATCAAAGATATTAACTGTTTTTATTCTCCATAAAAAAAATAGTGAGTTTGAATTTGATTTCTATTTTTTTTTATCTTTTAAAACTTTGTAGACACTATTTTTTTATTCTTGTAAAATATATTAAATTTTACCTTTAATTTCTTTTAAATATATATTTTTTATTTTTATCCCTTTAATTTTTAAAGTTATTTTTTTCTAACGATCATTGTAAAATAAATAAATAACATTTGTTTTAATAATTTGTTAACAATAGTTGTGAATTACATTTAAGATGATCACTCAACTACATTTTAGTAAATAAAAAATATTTACAAATAATCATATAATATTAAAGATTAAAAATGATAGTTCTAAAATTTAAAAGAATAAAAAAAAATTCAAGAACCAAAATTAAAATTTTATTTTTTTAGAGATTAAAAACATATTAAAATTATTTTATTAATAATATTTGATTCGTTTTAGTGGGGTTAATATGCTATATTAATTTGCTTTGACAAATATTGTTATTATTATTGTCATTCTATAACGACTGGCTTTGGAAAAAAATGCGTAGCGTTAGAAATATATATAATTCTAATTCTAATACATCTTTAAATATATTCTCTTACATTAAGAGAAATTTATTAAAAAATATATAATTAAAAATTACTCTATATTTAATAAAATTTACATCATTTCAGAAATTTAAAAATAAGTTTCAATAATAAATTAATAGCATTTCTCTCTCTCCTTTTTTAATGTTAAAAGCGAGTCTTTAATTTCAAATTAGAAAATATATATTTTATTAAAAAATTGAAAACATGTAATGATACGATTTTAAATATTCCTATCATGAAAACTCGCTTTTATAGTGGGTAAAATATTAACCAAATTTGTTGATTAATATGTTAATATACATCAACAATTGAAGTAAGCACCATCACCTGTTAGAGAATATAATTGATTAATTTTTTATGATGTTTGTTATATCCTTCATAAATAAGTGTAATTGTAATTCATTTGAATCATCTTTTATAATTATTCTTTTTATTTAACTTATATTTATTATTTTTATCATTTCCATCCTGTGATTTTAACTACCACTATTTCATCACAATCACGACTATGATAGGTTTGTTATGAAATATTGATAGACTATGGCCAAGGTCAAAGAATCTAAGAGGTGATACATTAAAGGAAACAAGAGGAATGAGATGATAGACCATGGGTCAAGGGCCCAATCACTGGAGTTATGACCACCTTGAAGACCAGTAGACACCTTGAAGACCAATGGGTTTTCCAAGCCCAAGGTACTCTTTAATTTGGACCACTCTATCATGAAGATAAGACATAGTTCTAGTTGTAAATATTTTGTACATAGTTCTCTTGTATAGGCTTATTTTTGTCTTTGTATTTGTGAGGCACATTAGTTTCTTTTATTAGTCATTGTATATTGATTCTAGGGTGGGTTACTTGGAGAGTTTGACTCCATTTAACCTCCGTTGTTGATACACTAATTTTCTATTTTTTTTTTCAGTAAGAAAAGAGGGGTAGCATTTAGCAATGCTTGAGGGTATGACTAGTAATTGGGCTAGAATTGAGCCTAGGCAAAATTTTACATATTGGACTCATTTTACTCCTAATTTTTCATAGATTTGATTTAGTTAGGTTTCATCATCATTGAATGAACCTAACTAAACCAAATCAAACATTTTTGAAATAATCAAAGTGAGCAAAACTTGAGTTAGCTGCCCACCTTGCTTAGCTTCCTCTTTGGCTGAATTGCTTCTCTAATTCTCAAGGAGTTGAGAAGCTTGTAGCACAAGCTTCTCCTTAGCTTACTTCCCAAGCAAGCTAGCTAAGTGAGAAGCTTGCTCCACAAGTTTCTAAACTCACCTAGAAGGTCAACTAACCTTACCATGGTTCCTAGTGAACCATGGTTAAGGTTAGCTTACTCCTTAAGCTACCTACCTCTATATATTTGTAATTTCTACTTTTGTAATCACTTTTGACATATTTTGAGAAATAGAATTCAGAATTCTCTCATTTTAAGAGTCTAATTTCGTGGAGAATCTTCTTCTTCTAGAAGCTTCACAAAGGAACTTCTCCTTTGTACTTAGTTCCTCAAGTTTCTCTCCTTCAAGAGAAACCGAACCACCTTGGGAAGCATCTTCAAGCTTTTGAAGCTTGAACTCATCCAAATCTTCCATTGATGTGAAGAACCTCACGAGAAGAAGAGACTTAGCATGGTTCAACTTGAAGAAATATCAATCTTCTCTAAGTAGTTCTATCAAATATGAAGAGAACCTAACTTTATAGGTTTTGGTTATTATCTTATTTTTATATTATGACTTTTGAATATTATATACAATATTTTTTTTAACTCTTATCGATGACTTTTATTAATTTACCACTGTGGATATATAAACATGGTAACTTGATTAATGTAAATCTAATTATTTGTTAATTAAAATAATAATAGGTTCAATTTTTTTTAAAGTAAAATCTTGAGTTAAAACATTGTGTATGGAAAAAAAATGGTTAAAAATGAGAGATCTCTAAAGATAATTAGTTAATTTCTTTGACGATAATTAATTATTAATAAATTTGATAGAAACTTAAATACTCTATATTAATAATATCTTAAAAAAAACTTTCGTTTTAAATCAACTTTTAATTTTTATCAATGACTTTCAATAGTTGACAATTCACATGATAGTGTCAAACTTAATTAACTCTCCTGTAATATTTTTTATGATTGAGTTTTTGGAGTCAATTTTTTTTATTAAATATTTTGCATGTAATATCTTAAAGTTGACACTTAAATTTATTTTCCATATAATGTGAAAAGTTTGAGAAAGTAGTTGTGGATAATCTTTTAAAAAGTTCGAGTTAAAGAGGACAAAACTAAGGATTTAATAACTCTTCTCCAATTTTTATCTCTTAAAAATGTTTTATGATTTATTAACAAAAAAATTTAACTTATTTTTATAAAGTACTTATATTTTTAATAATTATGTTATTAATATGATCTATCTCAATTGACTTGTTGGTTTTGATATAATATATATAAATAATTTATGATTAATTTTGAAATAACTTATATAAATAATTTATGACATAGTGTTCATGAAAAAACCTCTTTTAAATCCTATCAACATTATAATATATAATAGCAAGGGAAATGTATTTTTTTCTCTTTTAAGACAACATCCATACATTGAACACTTGATAATGTTTTCTTTTTAAAGTGAGAATATTCATACTCAACACACAGAAAAATAAAAAAAAAACGTGTCTTATTATGGTATAAGATGAAAAACTCAAAAGAATATTTTGTATTTTTCTTTAAACTAATTTGTTTCAATTGAAAGATAAATAAAATTTAGTTAAAAATTATTTTTATCGTCAAAAATCGAACTTGAATATAATACTAAAAAAAGTTCAAAATTTGTATGCATAAATAAATAAAAAAATTGAAATACGCAATGTATGCCGTAAAACATGAATAAAAAATACAAAAATAGCATAGAGAATAACATGACATTCACGTATATATAGACACAGTGTGCATGTGAAAATTCACTCTCCGACGAAAAATTCCAAATCATGTTGATCTGGTCCTTCTAGTCAATGGCTTGAAACTTTAATGTTTATCACTCGCCATACTTTCCGGCAGATTGAGCTGCACCAAGCGTTGGTTTATTGCTTGCATTGGTCTTACATTAACTTCTTAATCCTGCAAATTTTTATATTCGTTACTAATTTTTAAATAAATAACTGTATAGAAATACTCATCAATCAAATTGGAAAATAATTGGCGCATTACAATTTTGATTAATCGTAATAGGTATGTTTGGTTATTAATATATGGCATATAGAGTTTTTGAAAAAATTTTATTGAATAAAAATTTGGGCTCATTCCATCTCAGCTATTCACAAAGAATTAGATAAAAGTAAAATTAGAAGGAACAAAAATAAAGATATAAATAGTGGTAGAATGTCGCATAATAATTTAGTGATAATTAGTTAAATATATTTGCTAATTGAATTTACTAACTATGATATCATGAACCCTATAATTCACAAGAGTTGAATCGAATTTGGAGTAAGTCAGCTGGAGCTTTCCCAATTGGGATACTGTTTGAGTCGTTTCATTCCTCAAATGAATGGGGATTGCATTGATCCCTTTTGGCATTGGCTCCATTCGGGTTTAATTTCTCTCCCCAATGAAGTGGTTCTTTCTTACTCTTTGTATCATCATAATTAAATTACTTATGTAAAAAGTGTTAAAGCAAATCCCTTTTGAAAAATGCATATTGAAAATTATTTATGTAAAAAGTGTTATATCAACCTCTATGAAAGATTAAATGTAGAAAGTGAGATTGAAAAAAATTCAACCACCAATTTTAAAATCAACAAATCAAAGTGTGTAAAAAAAGTTTCTAAATATAGAGATCCACATTCACTTAATTTTTTTTTTGGTGTTGATGTAATCTTTTTTTGGTGTTGACATTCACTTAATTTAATACAATGAAATATTAAATAATTTTTAAATTTTATAAAATTTTAAAGACTAAATATATTTATTAAGAACATTTAAATTAATAGTTGAATTATTACAATTCAAATTAACATAAAATATAAATTATTAAGTGAAATTATTTTAGTCAAATATATTATTTAAGTAATTGAATCCTTATATATATATATATATATATTATTTTACTCTAATTCATTTCATTCCATTTTATTATTTTATTTTTCAACGATGCATTTTATCTATTTCAATAAGTCATCTATCGGATATGGGAAACTTCTTTCACACTATTAGATTTTTTCATGTTTAAGGTGATGATTGGATTCTTTTTCTTTGTTTTATTTTTCTTCCTTAATTAATTTCTAGATTTAATTCTTGCTAAGTGAGGATGATATAACTTCTCTTATACAAATAATCTTTAATATACATCTTTCTTTCAATTAGCTCTTATAAGGGGAGGGAGTACAACTTTTTTATAATTTGATTTGTGAAAAATAAAATAGATGTTAATTAATAATACACAAAATTATAATAAAAATTCAACCAATTATACCTAGGTCTTCAAGTTTTGTAGATCTGTTGTTGAAAGAAAAAAAATATATTAAAATAGTGTTTAAAAAACATTTGCATGCAACCCAATTACATTTTTAAAAAATTGAGTTTTTTCCTTACTAAAGTTGTCTCTCTATTTTATTTTTCGTTGTTGGGATGAATTATATACTTAAATCTAATGGAGTGCTCTCAATATATACATGCATAAAAACCACCTTCCACTCATTCTATTTTCCTATTTTTTGTCCACTCAATACTAGAGTGATGTTCCTTCTTTTTCTCAACAGAAGAACAACATACTTCACTCATTCAAAAATCATAAGCACGTACTAACAGTTGGAAGCAAATATGCTAAAGAAGAGAAGAACCTTGGATGTAGTCAAAGTAATTATTTTTCCGCTTTTCAATCTTGACCTTTAACTAATTCCCAGTTTTCTATTTTAATTTTCGAACACGCTTTTAAATTGTGTCCTTGCCAGCATTCTTGTCCATACAATATTACATCAAATATATGTCCATAGTGAATTACACTTCATAGTTTCAAAAGGTGTTAACAAAAATGGAAACTCTTGCTACGCAGGTTCTGATTTGCAGTTTATTAACGACAATAGTTTTCCTATCATGTCCAGCAATGTCTCAGGAAGTTATTAGTAAGTATCAGAAAAAAAAGAATGAAACGATGGTAATTAAATATTTTTTAATACATGAATTTAAATACACACATAAACTTGCACGAACATTCTGGGATTCTTTTTATGAAATTAAAGACTGTGTCCTATATGGTAAGATACTCTAAATGTTAATTCGGTTTTTGTTGGCACGTGCAGAGAAGGGTGATGCAGTGAAGCATGATTATGGAATAGAGAAGAATGATGCTGAGTTTAATTATGATATGAGGAGTAAGAAAGGACCATTCCACTGGGGAGAAATTAAACCTGAATGGAGCCAATGCCAAAAGGGATCGATGCAATCGCCGATTCATTTGACGAATGAAACGATTAAAATAGTGTCCGAATTGGGACCGCTCCAAGTGAATTACACCGCCAGATCCCATACAACTGTTGTGAATAAGGGTCATCAAATCATGGTTAGCCAGTTCAATTACCACTAAATTATAATGCAACTTCCTACTACTAATTTTTCTTTTTGTCCCTTCTAATTTTACTTTTATCTAATTCTTTGTGAATAGATGAAATGGAATGAATCCACAAACTTTTTACATATCAATGGAACTCAGTACCTACTTAAAACGTCCCATTGGCACTCTCCCTCTGAACACACCCTAAATGGCAAAAGGTACATGCATGCATAAATTTGTAGATCTGTATATCAAATATCTCTCCATCTTTAATTATACACAATTTTTTTTATCAACAACTGAAAAAAGCTCATGTTGTGAGGAATAATTTTCTGCGGTGGAGAAGACTGTTGGGGAACAGAAAAAGAATTAAGAAGAAAAATGGTTATTGGTATGGTTTGTAGCTGTCAATATGGAAGGGAAAACTTTTACTGCATGTGACCAATTTGTTGTTCAAAGTGCTGTCTTTGAATTCATGGTTGTATATAATGTTTAATCTTGAAAATACTTTGTACTTAAGCTAAGTATTTCTATTATTAATAAAATTTGTTTGCTGATTAAAAAAAAAACTCATCAAAGAATCTGCTATTAGTGATGACCCTTGCATAAATTAAATACTACTCTTATCAAAATTTAAGCAGTTGAATTAAATATCTAATTGGTTTCAGGTTGGATCTAGAGGTGCACATGGTGCACGAATCACCATCCGGACAAACTGCAGTTATTGGAACACTCTATAGAGTTGGAGAATTTCCAGATGCCTTAATTGATTTGGTAAATGAAAGATGTCAGTGTGTCACTGTCTTTGTTTTTAGTGAATACATACCAAATTACTTATATATACGCTGTGCAACTTTTCTAGGTAATCCATCACTTGAAGGACATTCCTCACATAGGAGACGAAATGGATGTGGGTCCACTTGATCCTAATCCGATGATTAAAGACGTAAACTCGTATTACAGATATATGGGTTCATTGACTACTCCTCCGTGCACTGAAAATGTTCTTTGGACATTGTTTAAAGAGGTTTGTTAACTCCCATTTGTCTTTGATATATCAATTTAGCAGTATTTGGAATAATAATTTCGGCTATAGTTTCTTTTTTTTTTTCTTCAAGTTTTTATAATCTGATGAACCCGTGTAATTCATCAGGTAGGAACCGTTACACCGGAGCAACTTGAATTGCTTCGAAAACACCTTCGTCATGTAAGTTACTAAAGCTTTTTTCATATATCTCACTTGAATATATGGATACAGATGATGTAAATTAACCGAGAATTTATAATATGTAGAGAGGGGAGTTGTACATAAATTGCTAATTGGAGCGGAAAAAGATGTTTGTTTAATCCTAATCTTAAAAAGGAAGTTTAAATAGAATATGCCAAGTGTAAAAGGTTTTGTAGTCAATAATTGTCGTATAATTAAAAATTATTGACATTTATAAGAATTATTTAAAAAGTAATATCAATAATATTTTTAATTGATTAAAAATGTAAAATCTATATGTTGACAATATTGAAATTAAAATTTGTAAAGCGAGACTCAAATTAGATTTTATAATATACAACCATCATGAAATAGTATATATAAGGTTTTAAATTTAATTATTATTATTATTATTATTTTAATGCGTCAATTATTTTCCAATTTGATTAATGAGTATTTCTATACAGATTTCTCATTAAAAAATTAGCCACCAATATAATATAATTCATTGACAAGTCAATGTATTTTACAATATATATATATATATATATATATATATATATATATATTTTTTTTTTTTTTTTTATTTTA